GGAAGAGGTTTTGTAATGGCTTATTATAGGGTAGGAAGAATGTAAATATAGTTAGTACGTAGTATTTCTTACTATTCATTTGTCACTTGTATTGATATTATGTGTATCACACAAGATGGGAAAGGTGTATAATGATGGATTTGCAACAGACTGAGACGGATTTGTAACATTGTTTAGGTTAATGACTATAGTTTTGATAAGTACAATGATCTAAATGGCATTTCAGGTAATACAACTGAAGTAAGGCTTCATTGAGAATACATCACTGTAAGGAGGTAAACATTGTCCGGTGGAGATTGTAGCAATCCCAATAGGGATGATCCTCGTAAATCTTTGGATCAAATGGGGGGAGATGTTGGACAAGGCTGAAGGTAACAGGAACTGATAAGAGGCCTAACAATGGATTGCTTTGTGAATGGAAGTACGCTGAGTCGGTCAGATCTGCTAAGAGTTAAAACTGCAGAAAACCAGGAACAGCTCGCTCCCTGATAAGGTGTACATTTGGACAAAATATTTAGGATTGCTCACGTGCACGGCTGAGTCCAAAGAAGGCACACATCTGGACAATACGTTCAGGATTGGTCACCTGCACGCATAAATCCCAGTGAGCAATGTACTCGGCACAGAGACTTGTGTATAAAAAGCCTGAAGAAATCCCTTTTGTGCAAGGGCCCTTCAAAAACTAAGTTGGAAGAAGGTACCCTACGAGAGGAGATGTGGTGAAGAGGTTGAGCACTTTCAGCCTGGCCAGCTGTGAACTCTCCCAGGTAATAATGTTTGGGTTTAGCTACAGAAATCAGGGCAGTGAAAGACAGTGATTGAGATATCTCTAGTAGTTAAAAGTGTTATTCATTTAAGTACTTAATAAATGAATTATAGTCTTATAAAGCTCTAAGTATCTCCACTGTGGCTTTGTCTATGTATTAAGTGTCTCCGAGATGAGCAACAGGATGCTGTAAATCAGAAGCAAAAACAGAAATTGCTGGAAAAGTTCAGTAGGTCTGGCAGCATCTGCAGACAGAAATCAGAAAAGAGTCTGAGGAAGGGTCATTTGACTTGAAACATGAGCTCTGATTTCTCTCCACAGATGCTGCCAGACCTGCTGAGCTTTTCCAGCAGCTTCTGTTTTTGTTTTAGAAAAACGGAAAGTCAGTTCAGTGATCTTTGTTTCCCAGTTCTGATGTTGAGATGATCTTTCTTCAGCTAGCCTGGCCCTGGACATGCAGCCATCTGTGGAGGCTCTCACTGGTTTGTAAGAGGTACAAAGTGGCTGATTCACTTGGAAAATTTATCAGTGCAAAAAGTCACAGCTCACAGCACCTGCTGCAGGAAGAGTACATACTTTTGTTTTAAAGTTTAACCTGAGTTTGAGTGCTGAGAACAAGAAGATTCTTGGCTGGGAGAAGATCTGTACATCCCTTTTCCTTCAAATTGTTTCCAACATCAAGCTGCACAGCCACCAAGAACCAACCACAGAGAGGGTGACAAGTGAAAAAAGGTTGTTGTTATTGATCCACAAACTAGTGAGTTACAGTCACCTAGTTGCTAACAGCGACAGAAGATCAGCCCTCAGTCCCAGATTGAAGCTCTGGCTGCAGACAATTACTGCCTTTTCAAACAGCTCTTTACAGAGCCTGCCATTGGGATCAGGTTACTCACTTTCAAAACTGCAGCCACGCTAAAACAGGTCTGGGAATTCAGTCCACCATTTCGGAACAATAAACAAGACAGTCCTTACATTAGAGATCCAAGACAGAAAGGATTCACAAAGATAGTATTGCTACCCAGAAGGGAAAAGAGAGAATGGATTGCCAACACATCCACAAACAAACATTCCCTCCCTTCAACACCATCACCAGCAGCATGATGTAGAGGTGCCGGTGTTGGACTGGGCTGGACAAAGTCAGAAGTCACGTGATACTAGGTTATAGTCCAACAGGTTTATTTGGAATCACAAGCTTTTGGAGTGCAGCCCCATTGTCAGGTGCAGTGTGCACCTTACAAAGGAGCAGTGCTCCAAAAGCGTGTGATTCCAAATAAACCTGTTGGACTATACCCTGGTGTCGTGTGACTTCTGACTATCTACAAGATAGATTGCAAAAATTCACCAAGGATCCTTAGTGTGCACCAACCAAACCCACGACCACATCCTTTAGAAGGACAAGAGCAGCAGATACATGGGAACACCACCCCCTGAAATTCCCCTCCAAGTAAGTCACCATCCTGACTTGGAAATATATCGTCGTTCCTTCATTATTGTTGGGTCAAGATCCTGGAATTCCCTTCCGAAGTGCATTGTGGGTCAACCCACAGCACATGGACTGCAGCGGTTCAGGGCAGTAGTTCACCACCACCATCTCAAGGGGCTATTAGTGATAGGCAGTATATGCTGGTCCAGCTAGCAACACCCAAGCCTCAAGTGAAGAAGATAAAATGTGCACTTCACTATATTTATTGCAGAGATTGTGTCAGCATTTGGCTGAAAACAATATTACGACCATGCTTGATAATCAGATTCAAATAGGTTCAGTATTGATCAAGGAAACACTTGTCCTTTTAAAAAAAAATTGATTCCTAGCTCTTTATATTTCTATGATCCACATTACTAACTACCACAATGTTAGAAAAATGTTCAATGGTCTTAACTAAATTTAGGACAGGTTTTACTCCATTCCAGGTTGGACCAAACTTCCTATTGTCATCCCATACAACCCATTTTTTGAAGCAAAAAAAAAGGAGGAATATTCCAAGTACGCACAAATTCTGTTTAATTAAGTTTACACCCCAAAACAAATTAGAAGACAACATTTCATCTCATTATTGCCATCAAATCATTGTTACCTTTAAAAGGGAATAAAGTG